AAAAAGCTATTCGCTGCATGGACCGATTACGGTAAGATCTATGTGAAGAAAGAAGAGGGAACTAAGCCAATTCGCGTTGACAACGAATCAGAGCTATATAAACTTACTTTGTGACTAATATTTGTTTTGTCATATTGTTTTTTCTATTTTTCTTTACTACTTAAGTTTTTTCAATATTTTTTATTAATGTATTTTTCTGTTGAATTCTACAATTACTTTTATTGTATACTAGCGAATTGCAGACCAGCACATACATTATATAATTTAAGCAAACACTACATACATTCCACACATAATATTCATCACACTGCACCTTATCAAATTTTGACACAGGAATACAACAGTAAGCAATACTTCTCAATCGTCGATGTGATTTTTTGCAGCGTAACGCATATCAGGCGCCACAGATACTTTTGTTCCGGATTAAGGTTTAATTTTTTTCAACAAATTAAGACTTTTAAATCACGGCCGTGCCGTGATAGTATATATTTTATTAGATATTATTGTATTTCGTAGAGACGAATGCAAAATATTGAAACTTTGAATCTTGATCTGGACACTTTTCAAGTGGCTAAGGCGATTACCTGTGACGTCGATGATGTAAAAAACCACATTTCAAACAACAATAGTAAACTAAATATTTTGTGTCAAAATATACGCAGCATTAACTGTAATATGCCGAATTTAATCACGCTTCTAAATAGATCCGAATTATCCTGGGATATTATAGTCCTAACAGAATGTTGGCTTTCTCCAACGAGGCAAATTCCCGATCTTGAGAATTATCATATCATTGCAACTACTGTTCATAACTCTCAAAATGAGGGAGTTGTAATATATTACAATAAAAATATTAACGTCACATATGAGGAACCTCACATAAGTGATGCAAATTGCCTCCTACTAAAATTAAACTCATATACTTGCATTATTGGTATATACCGCCCGCCGAGTAAAACTAACATATACGATTTTATTAACTCCTTGGACTTACTTCTTTTAAAACTAAGTAGCTATAAAAATATCATTATTTGTGGTGATATTAATATTGATATAATCTCTAATACCTCCGATAAGCGCTCGCATGATTATTTAAACGTACTAGCAAGTCATTGTATTCTACCTGGCCATACTATACCCACCCATGGACGAACATGCTTAGATCACGTAATGATAAAAACCAACCTGGAAGCAACCTGTTTTGTTTTTGAATCATCAATTACTGAACATGAGACCGTAGCTGTCAGTCTCAATCAAATCACTTACTCTTCTCAATTTAATAAAAAAATTATAATCGATTTTGAGGGATTAGATAAATCGATATCTAATATAAACTTCCGGCCAATTATTGAAAGTAATGATGCCAACGTAGTGACAAATATGCTCATATCGTACTTATATAGTGCCATTGAAAACAACAGTAGGTTGATTAAAACTCCTATTAGACAACGTATTAGTAAACCGTGGATAACTAAAGGTCTGCTTCGGTGTATGAGGAATAGAGACAACCTCCATAAAAAATTGAAAAAAAATCCCACTGACGAAAATATCAGGATTTACAAACGTTATAGGAATTTTTGTAACACGTTATTAAAAAAAGCGAAACTAAGCTACGAAAAACAAGAAATAAAAAATACTAAAGGCAACAATAAGAGACTATGGGAAGTCATAAAGAAAATTAGCCGGTGTAAGACACCTGATCAATCCTCTTATCAGATATCTTCTTTCAATTCGGAAGAGAGAAAGGAGAGTGTAAATAATATTAACACTTATTTTGCCAATGTGGGATCAAGGCTGGCTGAGCAAATAAATTATACAAACCGACAACTAGCTGCACCTGATGGTAATTTTTCTCCTCTCTTTACTCAAACTCCTCTTAACTCACTTGTTATGCTTCCTGCCGATGAAGCAGAAATCTCCCAGCTCATTAAGGGGTTAAAAGACAACTGCGTTGCGGGAAGTGATTTGATTTCCGGAAAAAATTATAAAGAGGTATATAAAAATATTAATACCCCCAATTTTACGAATATGCAACCTGGCCTTAGAAACCGGTGTATTTCCTAGTGCATTTAAGATAGCCCTTATCACACCCATCTTCAAGGGAGGTGATAAGAACTCGGTCGTTAATTATCGGCCGATCTCTATTTTACCAACCTTATCAAAAATTTTGGAGCGACTAGTCAGTCAAAGGTTGGTTAGCTTTTTGGAGTCAAATAACTTAATTTCACCCAGTCAATTTGGTTTCCGACGCGGTAAGACTACTAATGATGCTTTTCATGATCTTATTAACACGACTATACTTAATTTAGATAGAAAAAACAGTGTTCCTTGACTTGTCTAAAGCTTTTGACACAGTCTCTATCCCTCACCTCGTAAAAAACTAGAAAGGGCTGGTGTAAGGGGTATTCCATTAAAACTGATAGAAGATTATTTGACCGATAGAAGACAGCGAGTCCGTTTAGATCATTATACATTAAGTGATGAGTTACCTATCAAATTTGGTGTGCCACAAGGCAGTATTCTCGGTACGACACTTTTTTTGGTATATATCAATGACCTATGCCAACTTCAGCTCTCTAAAGGAAAAATAATCACCTATGCTGATGATACTGCCCTTTTCTTTGCCGATGATTCCTGGCATAATGTTTTTGAGAACGCTCAGATGGGATTAAATAGGGTCTGTGAATGGCTTAGTTACAATGTCTTAACACTGAATGTTGATAAAACAAAGTACATTGCATTTGGTCATAGAGCTAACCTTCTTCCACCTCTATCTTTGACAATCACAGCCCACACCTGTGGTCTTAGACTTCCCGGATGTCACTGCCCCTTAGTTGAAAGAACCGATAAAATCAAATATCTTGGTATTTTGATTGATCAGACTTTAACGTTCAAACCCCACTTTGAAGCTTTAGTATCCCGTCTGCGAAAACTCATATTTATATTCAGAACCTTAAAACATATAGCAGAACGCCGTGTTATAATGATAGTTTACTTCGCTTTATGTCAGTCTCTGATTGAATATTGTATAACATCATGGGGAGGAGGTGCCAAAACATATCTTATAGAAGTAGAGAGAGCACAGCGTGCAATTCTCAAAGCAGGTGCCGGTCTCCCTTTCCATTTTCCTACAGACGAGCTGTATAAAAAATGGGATGTAATAACGGTTAGACAAACCTTCATCCTGCATATCGTACTTAGACAGCATTCTCATCTACATTATAACCCGGATTTTCTTAAGGATAAGCGCCGCAAAGATATAATTTGCAAAACTCAAACTTTCAACTCAGCTCTTTCACGTAAGTTTTTCTGCTTCATGGGACCCTTTCTTTATAACAAACTAAACAAAAATTTAAACATATATCCCAAAACCAAATCTAGTTGTAAAATAACATTGACAAAATTCTTAAAAACCCTTAATTACCAAGATACTGAGAATCTTCTTTTAACCCAACATTAATAATTTAAATTTTCTCAAACGAGTAAATTACTCATATAACAATTTCTAAAACCGCTAATAACGATACTCCAGCATCAGGATTGCTTCATTTAGCACACACGCACACACACACACACACACACACACACACACACACACACACACACACACACACGCACACACACACACACACACACACACACACACACACAAACATCCAGTATATAATTTTACAATTCGCCTATTATGTAACTTTTTATAACTCTTATATGATGTATTTCCTTTCTGTATTGTACCTTGTAGTATATGTAACCTATCCGCGAGGGGGGGCCTGGTGACCTGTAACTCAGGTTTTATTATAAAACCTATCATAGGCACCAGTCTCTCACAACGTTAGGTCCTTACTACATTGTTATTGTTAACTAGCCAGTAAGAAGTTGTGAAGAGATCAATAAATAAATAAAATAAAAAAAAATAAAATAAAATAAAAATAAAATATACAATTTGACATTGTTATCCTGATATTTTAAAAGATCGATATTTATGTCACCACAGAATATTGTTATTGAGTGCTTACGTAATTTGCTAAATAAATTTCTTAATTCAACAAAAAAATCACGAATTCTGTCTTGGTTGCGGAAACGAGGCGGCCTATAAATAGAAATTAAATAAATATGCTCCCCATTAATGTTGAGTGTAATGAAAACGCACTCCGCCGAGCGCATAACACTACTCGCGAGCTCAGCCGTTTTGCTTACATGCGCAGTGAGCTTCGCCCGGGAATAGGGAATACACAAGTACACCTCCGCCGTTACGTCCTTGTCGGGTATAAATATTTACTTTGAATCAAGGGATTTTGTAGAAAGATAATACAGAATATTTAATGTTTGGTTCAGTTATCACAAGTAATTGACTAAATTACTACCGAGAGTAACTAGGAATTCATTAAAATGTTTTTTTTTAAAGATCGTATATTCACATGTAATAAACGTAAGTCCTTGAAATTGTGTACTTGTTGCACCCACGTATTTATGCTATCAAGTATAACTTACAGATTCATCGCGTACTATGGAGTCGATATTGCTTATGTCCGTGAATTTATATGCAAAATAAACACTATAAGCACTGAAGTTATTAATATTTTCACTTTTTGTTAAGTAGATCACAAATGTCACTTTCAGCTCGCACGCATATTGCTTTTTCACCTTCACATTTTTTGACTAGAATTTTTCCGTTCGAGACCCATATGTATTTATAAATACCTTGAAGTTGTTTCTTAGTACACCATAGTAGGGTTCGTGTTGTCTTTGTCAAGTCTTCATTTATGTAGATTTTTTTTATTTAGTTTTTATTAAAAGCCGAACCATTTGTAATCATATTACTCGTTGTGTCTGATAAGTTGCGACGCTGAGCAAGCCAGTTGTCCATGGACCTGGTACCTGTAGTCTTAAAGCCCACGATAATTGGCGGTGGTTTTTTGCTTTCTTTTAGTGATCGAGTACGTCTAGCCCATTCTATATCCGAACTGCCCACATTGAGAATATGTGAATTCTGTGACATTTTAACCGGGAAGCTGTTCAACGCCTACAATCTCGATATTGTGTTTACGAGATACCTGCTCAAATTCGTGTAATTTTTGTTCGAGGGCGGTGTTTTCTTTTTGCAAATAGTCGTATTTATTGTTGACATCAGCGACAGTTTTCTCAAGCTTATGTATTTTATCTTTTGATTGTTCATGTTCAACTATCAATATCATAGTATCATACTTATCGGAAAGCATACTCAAACTTTGCGTAATTGAAACAAGTTGTTTTTTGAACCCGGGAATGGCAGATACTTTTAGCTGTATGTCCTTGAGCATTTTTGTGTAGTCCTGTGAATATTCTTGCTGTTCTTCTTCTTCAGATCCATCGTCTTCACAGTTATTACAATAGATCCGATTCCTCCCATTTTTTATATCCGCCAAAAGACCCTTAACACAACCTCTATGAAAAGTTCCTTGACACGGTCCTTGGCAAATGAAGTGTGATCCTTTTTTCGCTAAAATCTTCTTACATTTTTGACACTCCATTTTGACGCGTATTTAACAATTACCAATATGTAGGTATATCAATAGATTGCGCGAGCGCGCCGCGTAAGGAATTTCCTGCGCGTGTACACTCGGGTCAGCGTCGAGAACGAGACTGATTGATTGTTCTTGTACTTGCATTTTTTCGAGACCAAGACCAAGACTGACCGTGCAAGATTTGAGCAAGAACAAGACCAAGCCTGCGAGACTCTTGCGTCTTGCTATTAGGACTGAGTGTCATTTCAAGGAGTATAGGAGTTCATGTATACGGACTCTATGAAACTTCAAAAAATATACAAAAACATTTGGAATATTGGACTTTTGCGCACTACGAACTATACCATATACATACATAGCGAATCAAAATATCCATTAAAAGAAAAAAGAGTGCATCTCTAGTTTTGACAATCGGCACTTTGATAGTGCGCGGCGTCTTGTTGTCGGCATCATCAAAGGTTGGATGCTGACCTGTCAAAGAAATTTTGCAGCTATTCGGAAATACAAGGTCAAGATTTACGCACCGGCAGCTTCTATTGATATCCCATACAATCGTCGCCGCCGCGCCGCACGCACAACATTTGACACTGCTTGATTGCCGCCACAGAGTACATGTTCCAAAGAATAAAATAAGTTTCCGGGTGCTCAAAATGGACACTAATAAATTCTGCTGATCTCCCACGGAATATTGTAATTAGATAATGGTAGGGGTAGGTAGATACCATAACAATTTATTCTAGTAAGTAATTATTATAATTTTAACTATATGGGTTTATAATAGTTACTTACTATTATTATTATTATTATTATATATTACCTAATAGATAGACACGTTTAATAAGTTCACATAGAAAGCTTTTCATTTAATTCTTGGTCAAAAGAATTAATACAAAGTAACAGTAATGTCAAAGCTATTGTGTATTGTTATGTAATTTAATTTGCATTGTATTTTATTTTTTATTTATATAAATGGTAAATTGTATAGCTCTTTTATTCCATTTCATATTAGGTGAGGGTCTATCAATCTCTTTTAGACAGATGTTTTTAAAATACAGTCAAGTTAATGTCATTAATTTGTTTTTATACGTTCTAAACATGTTGTTGCACATGTAAGCTTATTAAATGTAAACGTTTATTAAGAAAAATACTAACTCTCGTGGCCTTGGGACGCGGTAGATAGCTCATTTGGTTAGAGCATCGGTACGGATCGCTAAGGTCGTAAGTTCAAACCCCACACGGTGTCATTAAATGTTTAGACATTAATTAATTTGGTTGGTCTTCACTATGGATATGTTAATTGAAGCTTAAAATGTACCTACTCTGTTAATTTGTTCTAAGATCTAAAGTAACGTTTAATAAATAGGAATAGGCTAATAGGAAATTGCGAGACTCTTGGTGCAAGACCAAGACCAAGACCTGAACTGGCTAAGTCTCATCTTGTTCTTGCATTTGGGCAACACTACGTAGCACTGGCTTGTAAATTTCAGCAGTACGCTAGAAACCGGAGCTCGATCTCCGCCGGCACTAATGAAATTGTTAATTGCAATTTTTAGTGCTGATTTACCACGTGCTCGGCGGTGAAGGAAAACATCATGAGAAAACCTGCATGTCTGAGAAATAAAAAATATATTTTGAATACATATAAAGTCCACCAACACGCAATGGGGCAGCGCGGTGGAACCTTCATTGAACCCTCTCAAAGTGTGAAAGTGTGTTCAGCAGTGGGACCTATATAGGTTGTAACTTTACTTAAAAACATATTAGCGAACGCAGCATTAAACACCAGCATCACACAGTTCAGAGACACTATTCCCCATCGCCGATTTGTGTATTTTTATGGAATAAGTTCAATAATGTCGGCTGGGATCAAACTTGGGTTGCTCTTCTCAATATTAATGGTGAGCCCACAGCTCCCGAGCTACCTGGTCTTCTCCAGGAGAGGACAAATCAAATCAAATCAAATCAGTTTATTTTGTGAACATAGGTTATTTTATAGATCTCAATATATGTCATAGTAAAATACAAGGTAGGTTCTCTATGTCCAGCCAGTAGGCATACAAAATATAAAATAATAATTGCTTAATATTTTTTCTTCTCTTCTGTCAGTTTCTAATTGAAGTAATTAAATAATGTATTAATATAAGAAAATTTTAAAGATAATAAAGGTATAGTATAATATAACATATAATAATTATCATCATTTTGTCTAATAGTCATCTAGTATTAATTGGCAAGTGTCATGATAGGTATATATTCAATGTAGTATTTTAATGTTAAAATGTGTCGCTAAGGAATTCTTCTAAAAAATAATATGCTTTTTCATTTAGTAGATCAAAAAGTTTACGTTTATAAATATTAATTATGTCACTATCTCTAATGTATTTAGGTATTTTTTATATACTTTTGGTGCATTTGCATATATACTCTTCTGTAATAAAATAGTTCTACTTGATACTAAATGAAGCTTATCTGAGCGACGTTGACTTTCCACGAACTTATACATGTTAATATTACGTTTTACAAAAATGCTTGTTTCATAAATATATAATGAGGGAAATGTTAGAACTTTTAATTTTTGAAAATGCGGCTTGCATGTGTTTGTGCTTTTTAAAATACAGATCGCACATAGACATTTTTTTTACTTCGCGAATGTTAGGTGCATTGCCCCAAAATATAACGCTATATCTCAGGATTGAGGCGAAATAGCCATGGTACGCGCTAATAGTGCTCTCTGGTTTGCAATTTTTCCCAACATATATAGAACGTATGCTAATTGGTGCAATTTTTTACAAATATAATCAATTTGAGTTTTCCACGACATATCATTGTCTATAAGTAGTCCCAAAAATTTTTTTAATATTTGTGTCTTTTACGTCTTGACCCATATATTTGATGTGTAGATTTATTGAGGTGTTTTTTTTTAATTTGAAATGTCATTATTTTCGTTTTGTCCAGATTAATTTTTAGGTTGTTTTCTTTCAACCAGTCAATAATTGATATAAGACTCTTATACCAATCTTACCTTCTATTTCATCATAGTTATTACTGTTGTAAATTACAGTGATGTCATCGGCAAATAACGACATACAAGACATGTACAATTTGGAAAGTTATTTATATAAATTATAAAAAGGAGAGGGGCAAGTATTCCACCTTGAGGAACTCCGTATTTAATCAATTGTGTATCAGAAGAGTATATTTCTTAGATTTTCGACTTGATATCTATTCGGGTAATTTGTGTTATTTGTTTTCTGTCTTTTAAATAAGATTTCATTAGAATATGCACATTTCCCCTAACTCCATAGATGTAAAATTTGTCTAGTAGTAGATTACGATCTACATAATCGAAGGCCTTAGTCATATCCATATACATTGCCACAGCCGTTTTCCTACTATCCTTGTTCCGGTATATTTTCTCTAGAAAGTTGTAGATAGCCATATTGGTATTTTTGTTTTTTCTGAAGCCCATTTGTTCTTAGCATAGGATATTATTCTTTTCCAAATAGTTGTATAGTCTAATATAAATAATTTTTTCTAATATTTTAGAGAAAGTCGATAGTAACGCCACTGGTCTATAATTACTAACATTTGTTCTATCTTCTTTTTTTATATAAAGGCTTAATGGTTGCAATTTTTAGGTTTCTGGGAATATTCCACTTTGGATGCATTTGTTTATATTATTACATAATATAGGAGCTATTAAAGGTGCCACTTCCTTAATTATTTTAGTGTGTATGTTACCATATCCTGTGGTGGTTGTATTTTTAATGATTGTTATAATTTCTTGGGTTGTTGTTGGTTCCATGAATATTGATTTGGCCGATTTGTGTTTTTTTTTGTTAGTCCCTTTTTCATTGTTAATCTGCATTTGTCTCAATTTAGGATTTGTCACGTATTGTCTAACTATCCCTTAATGTTTGTTTAGGTATGTTTGGCTTCATTGATTTATTATTAAGCAGCTTTTTTTTATTATGATTGTTTCTGAACTGTTTGAGCTTTTTGTGTCAGTTTGACAATTTTTTTATATCACTTTGTGTAGTTTTAAAATTTTTGTTGTGTCTTTACTAGGTGCAGTCTATATCTATAGCAGTTTCTCTCTTTTTGCTGCAAGTTTTATCTATTTTTTTTTATTGGGTTTACTTTAAATTTGTAGGAAGAGTTATAATGAAAGTAGGAGATCATCAGTTTCATACGCTTCTGAGAAGCTTAGACTGCCAATGCATTTCTTGAAAAGTGTTATATTCTCTTTGTTGTAATAACGTGTATACGTATGCCAATATTTAATAATACACGTTTTCTTTACTGACAACACCCAGCTCTATTATTTCACTATTACATCCTCTTATATTACGCAATATATTATCCAAACGGCTACCACTACTAACTAGGTCGTGTTGGTTCATTTATTTCCGATTTCTAGTTAAATTCTTTTGCAATACGTTCAAATTGAATGGAATCTTTAGTTTTCTTAAGCATGTCTATATTAAAATCACCACAAATTATTTTTTGTTTATTATTATAGCTGATGAGATGTAATATTTTTGTTAGGTTTTCAAAGAAAGTATTTATTTTATTTGGATTTGGGGGTCTGTATATGCATAATATAATTACTTTATGGTCTATCAGCTCTATGGCACAGCCTTCAAAAACGTTAGGGATATTGCATTGTTTTATTAATTCTATTTCCGTAAAATTTATGCCGTTGTACACCAATATGTTTGAACCTCCGTTTCGATTATTACGAGCAAGGTATGTAGCTAGTTTATAGTTAGGTATATTTAGTACCTTGTTTACATCGCTCTGTAACATATTATGTTCGGTGAAGCATAAAATACTAACATTTTTTCCATTGTTGGAGAGGTCATTTAAACGTTCTATTAAGATGTCACATTTATTCAAAAGTCCTTTTTTGTTTTGATGCAGTATGTATAATTTATTATACACGAAAAAAATCTTGGGTTAGTATTCTCCGTTACATGTATGTCATGTCACAAAACACACACACA